GCTCAAAATCTGGAATTCCCAGATTTGAACCTCAAGCTCAAATCCAAGTTTTAAAACATAAATTTCGATCCTCTTGGGCCAATTTTCCAGAAAACATTCCAAAACTCATAGTTTAACATGATTCCAAAGCTCAATTGTAAAATCAAGCCCAAGGGTGTTTCAAACAACTCAATTTCAAACCAATTTTCAAGAATATGAAAAACATGCAAACATGCATGAATCTAACCAATTCAAAGCTTTAATACAAGCTCAAATGAGCTAACTCTTACAAAAACATGATGAAATCGTGGTCTACTCTCAAAACATGGACATGCCTGTGAAGAATTATGGACTACAACCTCAAAACTTCAATACATATACATGCATGCAACAATTGAGCTCTAATTCAACACTATTGAACCAATTCTTGACTTAACTCTTTCAACTACCATGATCCATGCTAGAAGGAACTTAAATACACAATAAGGAGCATGAAATTCATACCTAGTTTCCTCAATTACAAGTCTAGAGGCTTAATATGCAAGAATCCTTCAATCTCTACAAGACTCTAAGCCAAATTGTGAAGAACTCAAGCTTTCTCTACCTCTCACTCTCTCAAGTCGGCAAGAACAAGAAATGGACTGATGAAATGTTTTGTTAAAGTGTTGTGAGGCTCAAATATAGTCTAGGTAGTGGGCCACTCATGTGGCAAAATGGTAATTACGCCAACTCTTAACATTAAGCTTATTTTAATCTAATTTAATCATACCAAATCACATTTTAGATAAATATGCCATAAAATCATATAAATTCTAAGGATCGCAAATCATCAATCAATTTCAGATTCGGCCGCCGATAAGGTCTTCAATTCGCAATTTAAACACAAAGGCATGAACAGATAATCAAACAGTCAACAGATAGACATACAATTAAACAGATATACTTAATCAATTCAGTTCCAGATTTCAGTCAGTCAGTTCAGTACTTCAATCAATTCAATTACCAATCATAATCAATCTCAGTTTAGCAGTAATCAGTGGTTAATCGGTAAACAGTGACAAGAGTTGTTACACTTATCGTCGTATATTTGAAATCTCGACATGTGGAACCTTTTCGGGGCCTCAAATTTGTCCAACTCCACTAAGAACGGCGTTCTCGGCTTGACCAGAGAGGTCACCTCAGCATCTTGTCACTTCCTCTGGAGGTAATCCCTCAGATCCTCCTTGGTCCATCTAGGAGCTTGGCTATCAACGGATTTCAGCCTTTTTGATGCGCTACTCCTGGTGTCGTTATGAGTCCACATGGACCTCTCTCCGTTAGTTGCGTCGAAACAAAGTTTCTTTCCTTGAACATGCCGATGTTCTTTGGGGTTAGCTTCTTTGGTACGGTGCGTCCTCCGAGAATCTCCCTTCATTGACTCTCTTCGCTCGACCTCCCTTAAAGGCCGGTGAGAGTGTTCCTTGGTCCTAGTGTGCTGGGGGACCATAGAGACTGTTTTCTGCCCCCCTTCTGGGCATTGTTCTTGGCCGCTGAAATCGACGTGTCTTGTAACGGAAACGGTGGCTGCATGACGTTGTTCTGTATCGTGAAATTGATGACCGATTGCAGGTCCGCCAATTTGTTCGCCATTCCCTTCATTTCTCCGTCCGTCCGTAGGCATCTATCTTTCCATACATGGAGATCGTTCTCGTTATAATACCCGCCTCGGTCTGCCTTCTTTGGTACATCTCCCTCCTAGCCGACGTCCTCCTCTCCGGGGTTCTGATCCTAAGTTTCTTCGTTACAGTGATCCTCTTCCACGTTAGGGTCAATGTGTTTACCACTCCCAGTAGGGATGTCGTCCCCAACCTTTTTTTCTGTTCGTCGTTGGCTATCTATTCTCCTTTCTTTCCTACAGATGGCGCCAAATTGTGGATGCTGTTTTCTGACCACACTACCAAACAGGTACTCAACTGGAGAACACCAACAGAATATATTGCACCCGAACGACCTGTCACAGAAAGATAAAGACTCCGGCGGTGGTTCGTCCACTCGGAGGCACTCTGACGATCAAGTCAATACTCAGTTATCTTTCAAAAATAATAATTAGTGCTTAACTCACTAGCCAGAATACAAAAAGCATACCTTAGACCCACAATGGTGCCTTACTTTTGTAGCCAACACTGATCTGATCCCTGTAGAAGCCTAGCTTCAATGGACTCTAGCTCAATGCTTATCCTAGACTCTCAAATAGATAGAGTTAAACTCCCTAAGAGCTTTATCTTTATCCAGACTGATGTCCTCTCCCATTCTAAGACTCTTATAGCTTATTCGTTTATCCCAGACTCCGACATCTCCGCAGATAACCTTGGCCTAGCCGAGATAATCTCGGCGTCATGACTAGGACACGTGGCATCTCTGCTGGCACTTCGGTGCCACCTTGGCCACGTGTTGTCATTCACAAAAATATGCCCCCACAAGAATGTTAACCCAACATGATCCAGTCCGCCCAAACAAATATGCCCTTATTTCCCTTAGGTCATGTTTGATTCACAAGACTAATAGTGAAAGTATTAATAATCTTATTAAATTAGTGTGGTATTCACTATCTAATTAGATTAGTAGGATAAATTATCCCCTTATCCATTGTTTGATTTGCATTAGATTAGTAGATAAAAGAGTCGTTTTATTTTATTTCCTAGCTCGGGATATATAATCTCACACCTACTCATTACTAATAATTTTACAAATTTGTTGGATTAATTATCCATTAGATTAATAATCCTGAAACAAAATTTCAAAACAAACATAGAATTATTAGACTCACGAATTAATAATTTCAATCTCATGCTCTAATCTTATTAATCAAACACGCCCTTAAGATTTTGAATAGTGTTTAAAAGATATTATGATCATTTACATAATTAAATTAACACTGTTTGAATTATCTTAAGGAAATAAAAAATTCAAATAATGTCTGAAAATTTTTTTAAAAAAAAGTCAATATAATTTTAATAGTTATAGGAAAAGTTTCCGTAATTGTCAGAATTTTTAACTATAATTTATCCCTTAATTTATCCCGAGTTGGGTGGGGTGGTAGTGGGACAATTGAGTCACATGAGATGGTGGCGGTTAGAATTTAGAAAATGGAAGATTTTATCAAATAATTGTAATAGAGATCCCACACATACATGATCTCTATAATCTCCATCCTCATTCTAACCATTCATAATGTGAGATTCATACATACATAAGTGGATTCCACACAAACATCAAGGACCAAGATCAAAATGTGAGTCATGAAACTCCCAAAAAAATGGGTCTCAAACATTTTTGTTTATCAATTTATTTGTACGGACGTGGGTTGCACAAAAGTATAAAATATACATTTATGTGAGATATTTATTAAAATTTTTTGTAAAAAATTTAAGAGTTCAAATATTTTGCAAAAGCTAAAATATGCAAGATGACAAATCAGACCAGACCACATCATAATAGCCCTGTTTGGTAGAACTGTGAGAAAGTGCTTATAGTTTATCCCTTAACAGCTTATAGCTTATAACTATGAACATAAGTTGATTTCTGACTTATAAATTAAGCTTCTCCTGCCCTACTCAAAGAATAAGTTGATTTCTAATTTACAAAAAGTTATAAGCTGTATTGTTAAGCTAAACCAAATACATCAAAATATCTTAAATTAAGCTGAAAACTGAAATAAGCTGAAATTAAGCTGTACTAAATAGGGCCAATATCAAAATTCAGTCTTATAAATCTAAAATTTATTAATTAATGATACAAATTAATTTTATTTATAACTTTCATATTTCATCAATTTAATATTTATGAGTTAATAAAAAATTTAATATCTATCAGATAAATATATTTCAAATAAATTATAAATTGATAAAAGTGGATTGATAGATTTTTTCAAACCACACACAGCTCATGACCTGTTTGTTTTCGTGTTTTTTCAGTCTATGGTTATTTTACAAAGATGGCTAAAATTCATCTTTTAATTTAAAAAATTACATCATTTTTCACATATTTTATATATTTTTTGTAAAAAAAAATTTTTTTTTAATCATTTTCCCAAAACAACTAGGCCTTGTTTAGTTGTTTGGTAAAGGCTATTAATTGGGTCTTTAGGTTAAAATTTATAAAAAAGATAAAATAAGTTAAAATAATTAATAAGATAAAATATCATATCAAATTTATAATTATTTTTATTTTTTTTCTCATAAATATCATATACAACTACAAAAAAATATAACCATTTTTCTAAACATAAAATCTTTAACTTACTAAAATAGTTAAAAATTAAAATAATCAACTAAAATAATGAATTTCTCAAATATGGGCTGAAAATATCTAAGACTCATCCAATCAGACAAAGGCCTTTCTGGGAGCTGGATAATTGGAAGAGTCGGAAACGTACTCTGGAAGACAGACACTACTCGGCTCTATCCTATACGATCAGAATGTCGAATAATACAGATAGGCCGAATAAATATTGAACTATGGAACTGAGTAAATAAGAGGATAATGAGTGAAAAGTGGGTCTGGCCCCGAGGCTCAGGAAACAAATATAAATAAAAGAGCAACATAATAAGAAAGGTAGGTGAGAATTGTTGTGCAAAACATAGATTACAAGCATTCTTGAATGTGGAGACTGACTTGTCCGTCGGAGTGCTAATTTCGACACCCCGATCGAAGTGTTTATTTCTTTTCAGGTGACTAGAAGAGGATCACGAGCGTTCTCCAAGATCAAAAAAGTATTTTCAAACCACTTCTCCACGGCCTTAATTGGAAAAGGCTATTAATTAGTTTTTTAGGTTAAAATTCAAAAAAAAAATAATAATAAAATAAAATATATTAAAATAATCAATAAAATAAAATATCATATTTAATTCATAATCATTTCACTCTTCTCTCACAAACACTATATTTAACTATAAAAAAATTCATCCATCCCTTACAATATAAAAATTCCAAGCTACTAAAATAGTCTCCATTCCAAACCAGAACAAAGTGAGATACAGCTTCGATTTGTAATCAGGCTGAAAATATCCAAGTGAAATAGATTGGGCCACCCCTATTCACACTGCACTTCTGCGCTACGATTCATCTTTTTTGTACTCCGAAATTTCCACACCTTTTCCTCCCAATCTCTCTCTACAACTTTCTCTCTCTAAAGCTCCCATCCCATGGACTCTCTCACTCTAATCTGCACGGCCGCCCTCTTATGCGGCGGACTCCTCTACTGGTTCGTCTGCGTTCTCGGCCCCGCCGAACAGAAAGGCAAACGCGCCGTGGATCTCTCCGGCGGATCAATCTCCGCCGAAAACGTCCAAGCAAACTACGACAAGTACTCGTCCTTTTTTCGCCGCCCCAAAGAGATCGAAAAGTCCGAGAAGGTTCCAGATTTCGTCGACACTTTCTACAACCTTGTCACCGATATCTACGAATGGGGCTGGGGCCAGTCCTTCCACTTCTCCCCCGCCGTCGCCGGAAAATCTCACCGCGACGCCACGCGCCTCCACGAACAGATGGCCGTCGATCTCATCAAGGTGAAGCCCGGCGATCGAATCGTGGACGTCGGTTGCGGAGTCGGTGGGCCCATGCGAGCGATTGCGTCCCACTCACGAGCCAAGGTCGTGGGAATCACGATCAACGAGTATCAAGTCAACCGAGCGAGACTCCACAATAAGAAAGCTGGACTCGACGATCTATGCGACGTCGTTTGTGGTAACTTCCTTGAAATGCCGTTTGATAATGATAGCTTTGATGGCGCCTACTCGATCGAAGCGACTTGTCACGCGCCGAAGCTCGAAGAGGTGTACGCCGAGGTGTATAGGGTTTTGAAACCTGGGGCTTTATACGTGTCGTACGAGTGGGTTACTACTGAAAAATTCAACGGTGATGATCAGGAACACGTGGAGGTCATTCAGGGGATCGAGAGGGGTGATGCTTTGCCTGGGCTAAGAAGCTACGCTGATATTGCGGCGACTGCTGAGAAAGTGGGGTTTGAGGTTGTGGAAGAGAAGGATCTGGCTAAGCCGCCGGCACTGCCGTGGTGGACGCGGCTGAAGATGGGGAGGATCGCCTACTGGCGGAACCACATTGTGATCATTGTACTCTCGACTTTGGGAATCGCGCCCAAAGGAACGGTTGATGTTCACGAGATGCTTTTCAAGACCGCTGATTTTCTCACGAGAGGTGGAGAGAGTGGGATATTTAGTCCGATGCACATGATCCTCTGCAGGAAACCGCACGCTGCTTCGCATGAGACCTCATCCTAGTAACATCGTCGTTTCGTAATTTAGGAGGTATCCTGGTGTCTGTTTTGTTTTTTATTTACTGTTTTTTTTTTTTTTTTTTTTTTTGTATTTGAATTTATTTTTGAATTTTGGTGGGTATGTGTTAAAAAAATTAAAAATAAAAAAAATAGAAAATCAAAAGGATAGCTCCTAAAATACTTTTTGTATAATAATAATGAATTTTCTCGCTTTCTGTTTTGGGATGTTTAGCTAAAATACATAATGAATTTTCCAATCTGATACTAATGAGATAAGTATTAATTACTTTTTGTTTAATAATGGATTTGAAATTGCCTTCTCTCTTGTCCTGAACTAGATTTATGAGGGTTGTGAACGGTTGGTGGATCCAAATAATTAATCGGTCAAAGGTTGTTTTGAAAGTTTAAAGAGCCTAGGGTTGGTTTGGGAAGGGCTCTTTGGGTATTTTTGGCTCAATGAGTTATAAAAGACAGAATAGGCTCATGAGCCACAACAGACAAAACATCCCATCCAACTCCATAATCATTACACTCTTCTCTCACAAAAAAATCAAAAAGGTCAAAAAGTCAAAAGTCTTTTCCAAACCAAACTTTTGAATCCAGGCTCGTATAGTTAAAAAAGTCAAAAAATCAATCTACTTTCCAAATGAAGGCTGAATTTGATTTGTATATTTTTTTTAAACCAGTTTTAATAGTGCCTGAGTTTAAATAATTTGGTTACCATGATATATATAATTTTGTCAAGCTGAATCCATTTATTTGCTTGTTAAAATGTCGTTTTATCATTTTTTCAGCAATATTATTTCAAGGATGCTAAGCCTCCGTTTGGGAAGTGGGTTGGCTTTTTGGCTTTTTGGCTTTATTTTGGTGGGTATGTGTTAAAAAAATTAAAAATAAAAAAAATAGAAAATCAAAAGGATAGCTCCTAAAATACTTTTTGTATAATAATAATGAATTTTCTCGCTTTCTGTTTTGGGATGTTTAGCTAAAATACATAATGAATTTTCCAATCTGATACTAATTAGTATCAGATAAGTATTAATTACTTTTTGTTTAATAATGGATTTGAAATTGCCTTCTCTCTTGTCCTGAACTAGATTTATGAGGGTTGTGAACGGTTGGTGGATCCAAATAATCAATCGGTCAAAGATTGTTTTGAAAGTTGAATGAGCTCAGGGTTTTGTTTGGCAAGGGCTCATTGGGTTTTTTTGGCTCAATGAGTTATAAAAGACAGAATAGGCTCATGAGCCACAATAGACAAAACATCCCATCCAACCCCATAATCATTACACTATTCTCTCATAAAAAAATTAAAAAAGTCAAAAAGTCAAAAGTCTTTCCCAAACCAATCTTTTGAGTCCAGGCTCGTATAGTTAAAAAAGTCAAAAAAATCAATCCGCTTCCCAAATGGAGGCTGAATTTGATTTGTATATTTTTTTTAAACCAGTTTTAGTAGTGCCTGAGTTTAAATAATTTGGTTACCATGATATATATAATTTTGTCAAGCTGAATCCATTTATTTGCTTGTTAAAATGTCGTTTTATCATTTTTTCAGCAATATTATTTCAAGGATGCTAAAGGTGTTTTTGATACAATAATCTTTCACTATTTTGAACGCTTAGATAATCTCATTATAATCGAGCATAAATTACAAATACATTATTTGAAATGTACTTAAAATACAGATTATTTTGATTATAAAAATTACATATTGCCCTTAAAGTTTCTAATCGCATATAGAATGATTATTTTTATTAATAAATTATCAATTTAATTAGTAGTTCAAGGAATTTTTTCAGCAATATTATTTCAAGGATGCTAAAGGTGTTTTGCTACAATTATCTTTCACTATTTTGAACCCTTGGATAATCTCATCATAATCGAGCATAAATTACAAATACATGATTTGAAATTTACTTAAAATACATATTACTTTGATTATAAAAATTACATATTGCCCTTATAGTTTCTAATCGCATATGGAATGATTATTTTTATTAATAAATTATCAATTCAATTAATAATTCAAGTAATTTTATTGTTGTATATTATTATATATAAGAGTAATTATAAATTTTATTTTTGTTAATTTTTTTAAATAAAAAAAATCCAATAAGAGAATATTTATAATTTTTTAAATTATATAAATAATTTGTATTTTAAATAAATTTAGATAGATGTTATTGTAATTTGCCCTATAATCAAGGTCATTGATAACTATCTAAAGTTAGGACTTTTCTTAAGTGCGCAACTTACACCTTACACTTACGCCTTTCTGTTTGCTGTCCTGTTTTATGTTTACATCTTCTATTTACACCTTTTGTGTTTGCACACCATAACAGCACCCCTAAAGTTAATGCGATGGATTTAACTCTATAGTATTAGATTTTTGATAAAAATCATTATTTAGTAATAAATTTGGTAAGTCCTAGTGTCAAAATTTTGATTTGGCTAACAATAATTTGATTATAATTTTAATAATAGATATTGATTTTTTATAATAATAAAAATGTGATTCAAATATATAATTATTGATATTTGATTATTTTAATTTGTTTACAGTAAATTATCGATAGGTCTTAATAATTAGACTTAATTTTTATCAAGTCATATTGAAAATAAGTTCTAGCAAAATCATTGCTAAAATTAATTGTCTGTGATGATCTTTTTGCTCACTAAAAATTGACAATTAATGACTTTTTTGTCACAATTTATATAAATAGTGACTAAAACTTGTAAAAAGCGACTTTTTTTTATAACGAATTTTTTAATTTTCATTAGAAGTTAAAAGTTAGTGACTTTTTTTATGACAATTTTTTAAAATAATTGTTAAAATTTATAATTAGTGATATTTTTGTGATAAGATTTTCAAACGGTTGCTAAAAATAAAATTAGTGACAGTTTTTAATAATATTTAATGAAAAATATCATTAATTATCATAGAACTTATTGAATAATAAGTCCATCTATTAGGATCTACACGTAAATCTTCTTGTTTTTTGTATGAATATTATACTCAACGAATCTTAAAAGATTGCAGTTTAAATTATCAAATTAAATTCTAAAATTGAATTACCAAATCCAAATTGCTCTTTTAAAATAAGTGACTTACTGAAGAGTGTTTTTTTTTTTTTTTTTTTTTTTTTAAACATCGAAAAATAGTTAAGGAGAATTCAAACCTAATGAAAATTAGCCGAATCCTTTAAATGAGAGTTGTAAAATTAATATTAATATGAGCAGTTTTGCAGAGTGGATGTAAAATTTGAATACAATAGATTAAAAAAAAAAAAAAAGAGTAAAAGATTTATTGATAAATAGTACATTAGGAACCTTCATCAATTTTCATCGAAGATCCATCAAATATTAGTTTGGTAAATATCCAAATTTGGAATAGTTTCGTGGCCAAAAAAATAAAAAAATTAAATTAAAATCTCTCCTTTTTTCCCCCAACATATTAATGAAGCTGTTGTTTCATTTGTGATCAGTTACTTTCGTTTTTCTTTTTTTTTTCTTTTTTTTTTTGCCATCGTCGTCGTCGTCTGTTGTCTGTCTTGGAACCAGTGGATGCATCATAATCTGATGAAGTCAGAGTTGGGAACAATTTAAATTCAATTAGTAATTTCAGTAATATGGAAGTTCTTTTTTCTTTTTCTTTTGTTTTGGAGGAGAAATTACAAATAGATGAGAGAGTTACAAAATAATCACTACATATAAAATAAAAAAATTATGTAATTCTGATACACAGAAAGAGTTATACTATTATGAAAATATATATATTTTTTGTCACTGCTCTATTAAAATGTAATTTATTTATTTATTTTTATTTTTTATTTTTTAAATAGAGTAGTATGTAAGTTTGAGTGTAGAGAATAATAAGAGCAATGCTACATATCTCGAATTTGAAATTGACTCGAATGATTAGAATTTTTGTTCATCAATCTTTGGCCAGTTGTTCCGCCGGTCATCTGACAAAAAGATTGATAATCATGATTGACAAAGTGATAACCACAATTATTAATCTTTTTATCGGACGACCAACCGAATGACCGATAAATAAAAATTCAAACCATTCAAAATAAGATGAATTCGAGGCATCAAAGATTACACGAATAATAAATTGTCATGAGTTGGGGCATTGTTGTGGTGGTGGGGACAATTGAATCACATGGATGGTGGATAGAATTTAGGAAAATGGACAAAAGCTGAAGTATGCAAGGTGGCAGACCAGACTGACCACACACACACAGCGCTCATGACCTGTTTGTTTGTATGTTTTTAGTCTATGTTTGTGCGTTTCTGAGAGAGGGTATGGGGGAGCTATGTGATAATTTTTCGTGTCTGAGACTCATCCAGTCAGACAATGAGTTACAGCTTTCGTCCGTTTGTTTGTCGTATAATGCCTACTGTTATAACGTTTGGATCTCTTCTGCATTCTTCATCATCTGATTCCGTTTGAGATTTCAAATCGGCTGTTCAAATTCCGGTGGTCTGGTATAGCCACCTGCCTTTGAGTGTAGAGAATAATAAGAGCAATGTTACGTATCTCGAATTTGACATTGGCTTGAATGATTAGAATTTTTGTTCATCAGTCGTTTGGCCAGTTGTCTGGCCGGTTATCTGACAAAAAGATTGATAATTATGATTGACAAAGTGACAACCACAGCTATTAATCTTTTTATCGGACGACCAATTGAATGACCGATAAATAAAAATTCAAACTATTTAAAACAAGATGAATTTGAGGCATCAAAGATTACACGAATAATAAATTGTCATGAGTTGGGGTATTGTTGTGGTGGTGGGGACAATTGAGTCACATGGATGGTGGATAGAATTTAGGAAAATGGACAAAAGCTGAAGTATGCAAGGTGGCAGACCAGACTGACCACACACACAGCGCTCATGACCTGTTTGTTTGTATGTTTTTAGTCTATGTTTGTGCGTTTCTGAGAGGGTATGGGGGAGCTATGTGATAATTTTTCGTGTCCGAGACTCATCCAGTCAGACAATGAGTTACAAGCTTTCGTCCGTTTGTTTGTCGTATAATGCCTACTGTTATAACGTTTGGATCTCTTCTGCATTCTTCATCATCTGATTCCGTTTGAGATTTCAAATCGGCTGTTCAAATAAGGTTTTTTTTTTTTTTTTTTTTAAAAATATTTTTTTTATTTTTTTATATTACATTTTGGATAAATTAAAAGGTTCGTTTGACAAGAAGAGTTTGGGGCTTTTTTGGCTATTTTAGTCACAAAAGACAAAATAGACTATTTTAGTCACAAAAAACAAAACATCACATTCAATTTATAATCATTACAGTTTTCTCTCACAAAAAAAATCAAAAAAACCAAAAAACTAAAAAGTCCTTCCCAAACCAAGCTTTTTAGCCCAGGCTAAAATAGTCAAAAAAGTTAAAAAATCAGAAAATCAACCCACTTTCTAAACGGAGGCTTAAATTTTTGAAATGATTTAAACCTCGCTTGAGGTTTAACGAGATTTAGTTTTCAATTATATTAATGTTGGCTTTACTGGCTGCCGCCAACAATTAACATCCGTTGAGATTTAATAAAATGGTAAAGATGATCATGAGGTTTTTGAAATGACTAGAAACTTTTCTTTGAGATTGATTTTTAATTACAGATTCCATATATTGTTATTTTATTGTAAAAAAAAAAAACAAAATATATTGACATCATCAAATAATTTGATTACATTTTTAATTTTCTTTTAATATTGTGTACAATTACAAAAGAAAAATAAAAATGAAAATGAAATCATGATTCCTATTGAGATTTTGGATAAAAGAGAGACACAAAATTAATAGTAACCGCAGGCATAATTAAAAAAAAAAAAAGAGAAAAGAAGAATTGTATTTAATTTTTTTGTTTTTTTGTTTTTGTGATTGGACAGAATTTTGAAAGGTATAATTAAAAATGTAAATAAATTATTTAATGATATCAATATTTTTTTTCATTGGTTTTTATTTTTTTTATTTACGATATCAAGGGTTTTGGATAAAGAAGGCACACAAAAACAATAGTAATTGTAGGCATAATAAAGTGATAAAATAAAAATTGTATTGTTTTTCCTTTTTGTAATTGGACATAGTTTTAAAAGGTAAATTAAAAATGAAATTAAATTATTCGATACGATAAAGTAACAGAAGAGGAAATTTGTAATAAAAAACTAAATATCAAGGGAAATTTATGTCATCTTAGAAATCTTAAGATAGGTTTCAGTTTCATAAACTTCATAAGAAGTTAGTGTAATTAAAAACTAAACTTCAAAAGAAATCTCTATCATTTTAATAATCTCTAGAAATGTTTATTATTTACGTCCTTTCTTGTTTTCAATAACACTCAATACACAAGTATTTATATATAAAACAAAACTCTCAAATTGTTAGGATTGGGGTGGTTGTTGTGTTGTGCTATTTATGGGATCTATTATGGACTCATTCTGATAATTTAAATCGTTTATTTTTTAAAGTGCATCAATAAAACATATTTATAAAAAATCAAATTGATAAAATATCGATAGCGTTTTCATTGAATTGTATTTGTATCTAAAACGAATTAATAAACTTTATTTGAAAAATAAAACTTAATAAAAAGTCCAATTAACTTAAATTTTACAAACATATTCTATTAAAAATATCAAAAAAATTAAACGATTCAAATTATCAAAATATATTTCGAAATCAACCTCACGGTCCGCAATAGTTGTTGTGACCGCAGCAGCCACCCAATTCTCAAATGGTTACACTTAAATCATCAACACGCATGATATACTGGTTAAAAAAAATAAAAACATGATACACAAATATATTTTTGCTAGTGTCTTCCTACTCTTTTCTTTTTGCTTACACAACCATAACTTTTTTTCTTTTCTTTATTACAATGACAACACATCACCTAAACATGCACCCACGACGAATGTCCATTTTGAGTTGTACATATTGCATTTTGACCCAAACAATTAAAATAATTACACTACTTTGTAAAATTACATTTTGTTCTAATTATAAAATCACATATAGATCTTTTGTTAGTATGGCGTCACAAATTTTGGTATTTACACAAATAACACAACATCAATAGAAAATTGATATGAGCCAACTCATAACCGTAAAATGAATTTTGCAACTCAAAAATGAAACTATAAGTTTGGCATGCTTGAAAAAAGACAAAAAGTCAAAAAGTCACTATCTTATTTAAGTCACATCATCTTATTTAAGTCACATCACCTCTCTAACACATCACTTCAAACCCAACCCAAACCTAACCCATATTTCATAAAAAGTCAAAAAATGCACTTATTTAGTCTTCCCAAACTAGGCCGATATTAGTATTAATCTAATTGATTTGAGACAAGTCTTGTTATTGAAAAATTATTAGGTAGTATTAGAGCGTTAAGTGACAATACTCTCATCAATCAACAAATGCCATGTCACTTGTTATTCTTTATTACCTAACACAAAATTACGAATTCATTCTTTTTACCAATAACAAAACTCTTGAAGCGTTATCTTATCATGTTGCAAGACGGCCAAATAAGGCCAAGTTTAACAACCTAAAAATAATCCATCTTTTTATCTTTTTTTCATCATATTACCTCTTTATTTTTCTGCACATCTTTTCGTAAAAAGACAAAAAGTGTACTTATTTAGGTCATCCCAAACAACTCCTAAATTCTGATGATCTAAATAAATGCACTTTTTGACTTTTTATAAAATATAGGTTGGGTATGAGTTGGGTTTGAAGTGATATGTTAGAGAGGTATTGTGACTTAAATAAGATGATGTGAGTTAAATAGAATAGTGACTTTTTGACTTTTTAGCTTTTTTAGATCATGCCAAACAACGCCTCAAAAAAAGATAAAAGTAGAATAAAACTAGGGATGTGTGAAAATCTCTAGTTTAGCATATTGAAAGGAAAAATTATTGCTTCCGCTCCACATATCAATAACGTGTTATCACATTGCAAAAACAAAAGTGAGGAGTTTGTTTCTTGGCATGGCTTTACTTGATGGGCGCGGATCGGTTACGGCCACGAAACCTCCAATCTGCCATCTGTCCGCCAAATTAGCGGATTGGAGAAAATCAATCCGCATCCGTCTGCCAATTCGGCGGATGCAGATTTGGCGGATTGGTGGATGGATGCGAATCGGCGAATGGATACGAATCGGTTTGGGGGTTTGAAATTTTACAAAAAAAAAAAAAAAAAAAAAAAAAAAAAACCCCTAGACAATGCAATATTTATTCATTCACATCTATGAAACAACTTGGACAGTGCAACCTGGACAATACAAAATTCATTACAATGGGCATAATTCAAAATATTTATTCATTCATATCTATGAAACTTGAAAAATATTGTGCATAATTCAACATCTATGAAACCTGCTATTTTTCCCTAACACCAAATTGATACATGAAGGACTGCAGCAAGGACTAAAAAATACATGAAGGACTACAACATGGTTTATTTCAATCCATGGTCTACAGCAGTAATACATGAAAAAGTAATACAAATCAGATTTGAAAGCAGAGAGAAGGGCTAATACATGAAGGACTAATACATAAAAAAGATGATAAATATGAAAAAGTAAGAAATTGGGTAACACAAATTGATAAATATGATCCTAAATCATTCATTTCCCAAGTAGTTCCTAAAGCGTTCATTTCCCAAGCAGTTCTAAATCAGTTTATAACACAAATTGCTCAGGTCATTAACATACCATAAATCAATTTAAGAGGTAAATGGGAATGCATATACATTAACATACCATCACTGCCCATTAATAGATCTAGAGCAAAATATTCAACAAATGGGTATTGTGTTTCATAGCTTGGCCATATAAATTACAAAGTATGCAACAGAGCATGGCCTAACCATTTGTGTTTCAACCAGTTTGTAATCAACAATTTGTGTGGAGTATCAACCAATATACTGGATATGATTACAAAATTCATCAACCAATAAACATTACCTAATGAATACCAGAGAACAAGTGACGAACCAGAGTGTGGAGTGACATACCAGAGAAACATACCAGAGAACAGGAGAAGAGAATGAGGAGAAGAGAAGAAGATGAGAGAAGAAGAGAAAACACAGGTATAAAATCACAGACAGACACAGATAGAAATCACACAGACATAGATATAAAATCACAAACACATATATAAAATCAAAATCACAAACCTCTGGTTTTCGAACTCTCTGTAAGCTTCTCTCTCTATGTGTGTAGAACCCTCACTCTAATCTCACTATCCCTTTGCTTTCAGAACTGTAACAAAACAAAAAAAAAAATAAAAACAGTTAGAGATTCAGGAGAAGAAGACAAGAAGAGAAAAGATGAAGACAAAACAGAACTCACCACCACCATGATCAGCAAACCTCTTTCAGTCGAAGAAAGGGGTAGGCCCTAACCGTTAGGGTTTTAATTTGAGATTCTCAGAAAAGGAAGCAAAAAATAAAAAAAGCAGATCTTCGATCGCCGATGGAGAAGATCGTCAGATGATGAGAAAGTCGTCGTCGGTAGATGGGTAGGGTTTTGAGGGGGAGAGAGAGAGAGAGAGTACTGTTGAAGAAAAAGAAAGGGTTAGGTCTTTTGATGATGAGATCAGAAAAAAAGGGGGCGTACAAAAAATATAAAAATATATATAAAAAATCTGGAGACAACGACGGGTCAGGTTACATGGATATAATGGCGGGCCACCCGCACCCGACCCGAATCCGCTAGAATGTAAAATCTTGGCCCGCATCTGTCCGCCAGGCATCCACCCATTTGGCGTCGGGTCAGGTTGGGTCGGGCGGATTTGGCAGGCCGGTGGATCCATTGCTCAGCCTTGGCCCATTGAAGTGAAAGCCAATTGTGTGTGTGATAGAATTTGACCACAAAATCAATTAAGATCATCCTCAAAATGTATAGGAACGAAATTGGCAAGTGGAGATGTGTATCTGGAAATCTGTGCTTGTAAGACCGAAAGTACTTCAATATTTAAGTCAGTAACAATTTACAAATAACTCAATTAAAAATGATTGAGATCACTAAAAAGATGAGCATTAATAGTTTTAAAGCGGTGTGGGTCTCACATAATGTGACAATTTGCTCTTATGTGTGTATTTTTTTTTGAATTTCTACCTCATTAGTAGTCAATTAATACTCCCAAATTAGTGAATCAATCATTGTTGTTATTTCCAACTTATGAGTCGTATATCTAATATATTATTGCCTTTGATTACAAAGAAAAAAAAAGAAGAAAAACTTCCACTTCTAATATCTTGGCTAAGGTATGATTCACACCAATACCTCGGCCAATAACAATCTACCAACTTGTATCTCAATCCGAGGCCGTTTCATGTGATCATACAAAAAATTACGTCCCCCCACGCCAATTATTTTCTCAATAATATCATTAGAAAAGTTAGGAATAATGAAAAAAATGTCAATAATTCTAGGGATACTTACGTGTAAGTCCTAATAATTAAATTTATTGTCTAATAGGCCCTATGAAAAAAATTTGTCATAAAAACAGTCACTAATTTTAAGTTTTAGCGACAATTTATAAAAAATATGACCAAAAAAAGTCACAAATTGTCAATTTTTAACGACGTATATGAAAAATTGTCACAAAAAAATTATTTTTACTGACAATTTTACCAAGACTTATTTTCAATAAGACTTAATGAGAATTAAGTCCAACTAATAGGACCTATTGGTAATTTATTCTAATTTTTTTTACTTCGAAAAATGATGCATAATCTATATTCATTTATTGTACAATAAAACCCACACTTAAAACAAATCATAACCACACATTATTTTTTATGATTATTCCTCAAGTATACATTTTATTCTCAAAAGAAAAAATTGTGTCTAACACGTCCTCTCTATGTGGAGGTTTGTTGTAGTGTTTCAAAGGGCAACTCTCAATGAGCTAAGGATATAATGGAAAAAATTAGTGGAACTATCATGATTTATTGGAGCTTGGAGGGGTCATTGCCCCTTTCATCCACCAAGTATTCTCATTATTAAAAAAAGAAAAGAAAAGAAAAAAAGAAAAGCAATCGTGCTATACATTTTCAATAATGTACTTATTCTTTTCATTATTATTTATTGGATTAATTATATTTTTAGGCAGTAAAATGTGAATTTTATATCATTTTGATTATCAATATTTTAGTTTCTAACATATTAATTTTGTTATTAAATGATTCTTACATCGGTTTTCATTTACAATTTATAACATAATTAATTGTATTTGAGTAATAGTAGAGATTTCAAAAATTTTACAAAAATTTTTACCAAATATCTCATATGGGTGTGAGACCTACACAATGTGATCTCATATGAATCTCACACTCATATGAGATATTTGATAAAATTTTTAATAATTTTTTTTGAAATCTCTAACATTTTTTATTATATTTTTATTAAATCACATTTAAAAATTAGCAAATCGAGAAAAAATATAGTCTAAAATATGTGATTTATTTCATTTTGATTTCTAATATTTTTAATTGTGTCAACGTAATTCCCATCTTATTTAGTGCCATAGGTGGTTTAACGAAATTATCCTTACTTTCGTCATCAATTGTAGACAGAAAAGGATGTAGAGATCATTTTACTAACAAAATTAATAAATTAAAAATCGAATTGATACATTTGAAACATAATCAAAATCACACAGGATGCATACATTAAAAATTATTTTATTTATTTTAACTGATCACAATGAATTTTGACAATGCGTGGATCATATTTGCAGAGCTGTTAGACACTTGACAAAAAGAAACTTGAAAGGCTGTTCAATTTTTTTTGAGTCCTGCTGGAGACCCCAGCAGGAGAGGATCCCCAGCACCCCCCCACCTCCACGTGGGGGGCTGCCAATGGATGAAAATAAAGGAAAAAAAAAAAAATTTTTTTGGACCAATCAGAAGGGACCCTAGCAACCCCACTGGGAGTCTCATGCATTTTCCTTATATTTTTTTCACATTTCACTTATTTTTTTCTGTCTTTTTAAATTTATTTTCAAATTTATGAACCAAATACAACGTAACTAGACATGGACTAAGGCCTCGTTTGGTAACAGACTTTTTTAGCAATTTTTTGGCTTTTTAGCTAAAATGTGATGGAAAAAAAATTATTGGGTTTGTTTGGTTTGTTTTTGGGAGAGTTGTTTTTGAAAAAATTTTGAGGAGATAGTTTAAAATTTTTTTTGATTTGTTTGGTTGTATATTTTGGAAGAGTTGTTTTTTTTGGAGTTTGGGATGATTTGATATTTTGGGAGAATTTGAGTAGATGTGTGTGAGAGAAAAAGTGATTGAGAAGGAGAGAGGAGAGAGAAAAGTGATTGATTGATGTGTAAGAGAGAGAAAGTGATTTTGAAAATTTTTTGAAAAAAACTCAAACCAAACAATTTTTTAGAAATTTTTTTCTAAAACTCATCTCCCAAATGCAAACCAAACATATCCAATGTTTGAGATGAGTTTTTGATTTTTTATGAAAAGATGTACAAAAAGAAAAGATAAAAAGAAATCTTTGACTTTTTAATTTTTTTAATATCTTTATGATTTTTTTGGCTAAAATCACCACTTACCAAACGAGACTTTAGTTTGGACATTTTTTTTTTTGGGTAAGTAATTCCCTTCATGGCAAAATTGATGAAAACCCCCTAAAAAAAAATGTGCACTGTTTAAAGTCCACCGTCCTTTTTATTTTTTTATTTTTTTTGGCTCGAAGTCCCTGGTATGTTTCTGATTGGGCATGAAGGACAAGTTCATATTGGAGAGACTTTTTATGGACACTTTTGACATTCTCAGGCATAGTGAAGTGTGGATGTAACAGTGCGTACTGAGTGAGAGTCTCTGGTTTGTTTTCTTCATTAATTGGAATGGCTTACCAATAACATCACCATCCACTAGGTAAAGGTTTGTTGTCTTACTTTTCACTTATGTAATACATTTGTTGGAGATAATAGTTTATAACTTATTTTGAGAATTTTATTTTTCATGTCTATTGACTTTCGCTTTTAGTGAAATTTATATATATATATATATAATAAAGACAATAAAATTTTAGTATCATGAGACAGTAAAACTTTACTATCATGACATAGTGATAAATTTTAAACCTCAAAATTAAATATTGGTACTCTAAATTCTTTTATTTTGTATTTTTTAGATTTTAATTTAGAATTGTTTAATTTATAGCCCCATTCAATCATTGTTCGGGTTCGATCATGTATGTTAATTTTTGATTAATTTTATTTTTTTTCGATTTGTTTTTGTTGTGTGTGATGTGTAATGGTGTTTGTTTATTGGTTTGTATATATGAAAGTAAAATTTCATCTTTCCTTGTGTACTTTTTTTTTTTTTTTTTTTTTTTGTATGACATATTCATAGAATGATAGTAAAATTTTATTGTGGTAGTGTATCATTGTGTGATTTGTTTGTGAACTCGTAATAAACATATGTTTCCTAATTAATTGACAGTAAAATTTTACTATTTACATCAATTTCGACAATAAATTTTTTTTATTAAGATTTTATAGTCAAAAATCTTATTTGATAGATCGTGAAATTAGTGACTTTTTTTTGACAAATTTTTCCTATAGGGCTTATTAAACAATAAATTCACTTTTTAGGACCTACACGTAAGTACCCCAATTTTTAAACCCATTTTCAAATTGTGGGTTACGTTCAATATATATATATATATATTGATAAATTATACTATGCACTTTTGTACTTTATATTTAATTTTACTTTGATTCCTGTATATGAAATTATGACAGTCAAACTCTATGCTTCTGGTCAAGTGTCAATAGTTTCTTTTTGTTACTTCACCGTATAAGTCTTTAACAGAAGTTAATGATATGACAAACATGTAACTATGAAATGAGGACAAAAAAGAAAAAGTTCCCTCATTTTCCATCTATATATATTTCGTCCCAAAATTTATATTAAAATATGACTTGTTGGCTGTATAAATTGTATAAGCCAATCACGATTCAACACGTGGTATGAGAAGGGTAATTTGGGAAGGCAATATAAATCGCGAACCATAGTTAGACACGTGTCAACCCATACTAGTAATAATGAGTCTGCATAACACCAGAATGATCGAGGGATATAAAGTGATGTGGCATAACGGTTACTCACAAGGTTCAAATTCAAAATCAGGAGGGAAGCCTAACTGCAAACGTGGCATAGTGGAGCTAATTGTGAGAAAGCATGATCAGCGATCAGGGAGGGATGCTTCAATGGCTAGAAGCTCATATCGACAGTTATCATTGAGAAGTATAAATAGCAGAGAAGGTCCCAGAAAGAAGGACCCAGACTCAGATCCAGAAACCAGTTTTTATCTACTTTATTTTCCTTCCAGTTTTTACATTTCTTGTTCTTTACATTCCTGCACTTCAAATTCTTGTATTGCAGTTTATTCATAGGAGTAGTTTCAAGTAGCTTGTTGCTGTAAATCTCTACGAGGCTGGATCAAATCATTGTAAATTTTTCATTTTTACTTAATGAAATGCTGCAATTGTTTTTCATTTAATTATTGTTTACTAAATTCTTCTAAACAAGCCACTAGTAAAAGTCCTCTTCATTGAGGCTGAAAAAATTGAA